ATGTATGTATGTATCATGTATGTATGTATGTATGTACGTGAGTACCGTATGGTATCGTGTGTTTCATAGTATATTATAGTTTGTAAGTGTTTGGTCATATCATATTTATATGTATAAATATATCTATGTATCGTATACAGTATGTCCCAAAAGTCCCGTATCAGTCGTATCACCCTTAATATCTCCATGTACAATCACTATATTTAAACGCGGTTTTTTTTACAGTACTAAGTATGAAAATTATGATTGAATGGTATAAAATTCATTTATTTTTTTCTTTAAATTCAAAAATTTTCAAAAAAATTTTTTACGCATTTAAGAATTCAAAATTTTAAAGATAGCCATTTTGTTGAGCATATTTTTTAAAACAGTTCAAAAAAAAAAAATACTAAAATTAAATAAAAATTGACCAAGTTAGAGCGAGTTATGTTTTTGAATAATTGTAGTAAAAAAATAAATTATTGTTTCACATTTCAATAATGAAATATCTAATTTCTGCACACGACAATACTTTTACATTCCTAATTTATTTTTTTACTACAATTATTCAAAAACATAACTTGCTCTAACTTTTTCAGTTTTTATTTAATTTTAGTATTTTTTTTTTTTGAACTGTTTTAAAAAATATGCTCAACAAAATGGCTATCTTAAAAATTTTAAATTTTTAAATGCGTAAAAAATTTTTTTGAAAATTTTTGAATTTAAAGAAAAAATAAATGAATTTTATGCCATTCAATCAGAGTTTTCATACTTAGTACTGTAAAAAAAACCACGTTTAAATATAGTGATTTTACATGGAGATATTAAGGGTGATACGGGACTTTTGGGACATACTGTATATTATGTAAATTGTATAATATGTTCAGGAGTTTGTGATAGTGATGTTTATATAATTGTTTGGATATAAATTATGTAAGTATGTACCTATTTATGTAAACTATATTATAATATATTTGAGATATAGCGAGATGTTTATTCGAATGGGTTTATGATCTGAAAATGGCATAATATTTTTAGATATGTGTTATGTTGTAGGTACCTACCTTATATGATATTATGAGCATGTATGTATGTATGTATGTATGATATAGTCGATACATATTTACATCAGAATAATATATATTTTTATTTTTAAAGGGAAAATAAGAGGGGAGGTTATATATTTGTTTAGGAAGGGGTAAAATATATGTCGGACAAGAGTTCGATATAGTCGATACAATTAATGTACATTAGAAGATTATATATATATTTTTTTTAAGGGGTAAATAAAAGGGGAGGTAATGTATTGAAGGGGAAGGCATAAAATATATGTCGGTCACGTGTCGGATCGGGTGTCGTGCGAGGAGTTTATACAGGGTGTCCCGTGAGGATTTACTCATTAGCCGTAGAGGGGGACTCGCCGCCCGGACAAAAACCAGTTTATTGACGTTTTACTAATAAACTAAAAAAATTATTAAAAATCATGAGATTAATGAAAATAAAATGTTAAAAGCTCAAAATGTTCACAAAAATATACTCTATAGAATGGCTATCTTCAATTTTTTCAAAAATAAAAAAATAAAAAATAATTTTTTTAACTTTTTTACTAAAAAATTTAATTTAATTAAAAAATAAAATATTTGTAGTGCTTACCTCTGCGAGTCTTAATAAAAAAACATAATTACGATATCTCCATTATTTCAGGAGATATCGCAATGAGTAAATCCTCACGGGACACCCTGTATGTGTTGCGGGTTGCCTATATTGAGTTTTTTTTTTTTTTTTTTTTTTTAGTATAATATAAGATGTTCCTAGCCATGGCTATCTACTATCTACATATATTGATATTAATTATAAGTTGCATTTTTAACATTTTGAATATGATAATTTAAGTAAGTAATTATAATAAAAATGATAATAATAATAATAACTTAATAATAATAATAATAATAGTAATAATAATAATAGCAATATAAAGGTATAACAGATAATAAATGGCAAGTTGTATAACTTAATATATTGAGCCTATATTGAGTAATTAATACAAGTTTGGGAGGTGCGTGTACTTCGAATTGCCTATACAGAAGTGTCTATGTTTTTACATGTAAAATTTAAGGGGGAGGTGCTCCAGAACATACATAATCATCCTACTATAGTATATTATCACTATCAATCTATTATTCTAGTGCAGTGCTCGAATTGGAAATATAATAGAAGGGGTGCTAAAGGACTTATAAAAATTTAGCGTTCCACTCAATGATTTAAACCAAACTAACCCGTGGGGGGCTTCGCCTCCCACACCCCCCATGTAGTATTTTCAACATAAATCAAACAATCATTAAAATTCAACAAAGGTTACACTACAACAATATATAAATATTATTAAATTACAAACAAATCTTTTATTTTATTTTAAGATATTTTATACATTATTTACATTTTTAAATTTTTAATATATTCCATAGCTCTACATATGAATTCTTTATGGTTCTCTTCAATATTTTGTCGTTTAGTGCGTTTTGTATATATTATACAATTGATAAGCAGTACTTCAGTAGGGTACAAAAAGAAATGTTATAATTAAACAATAATTGATAAAAACCGACCTCAACTCATGAGCATAACAATAATGCTATAATTATTATTAGATATAGATATTATGAACTACATAGGTACTGTTTACAGTGTTACACTGTTACAGACCATCCGATAACATAAATTTTTTATTTTAATCTCGATATAATATACATTATTTATACACATTATTAGTATCAGTATATGTAAGCCTGTATTATAATCACGGACTAAGATTTATAGTCTGTGGTCCGTGATTATATTAATAAATTATCTTATATATTTTGATTTTTATCATTAATGAAATTTACAATTTATCGCATATTTTGTTCAAATTGATAATACATAATAAATATCTATAAATAAAAGTTTTATAAGTTTTTCAATAATAATTTACACGGGAGTCGTACCGTCCCCCCGTTCAAATTAAAAATATAAGAAGGGGTACGCTAAAAAAATCAAAATTTGAAGGGGAGCTCCGTCCCCCTGCGCCCCCCCCCCAATTCTAGTGCAAGGTGTATTATACACCTTGTTCTAGTGTCATTATGTATTATTGATTGCCACGAGTAGAAGACAATAGAGTAACAAGATAACAATCGTCGCTTACGGTTTAATATTTGATTTATTCGTTTTGTTGTCGGTGGTGGTTTTCTGGTCCTCGTTTCGGGCGGCCGTGCGACGAGTCTTCAACGGTGCTTTCTGTAAGCTTTAGAATCGCCTCATCTTGTTCCTTCTGCATATGCAAACGATACTCACGATTTGCGTTCTCGTAATTCTGCAGTACATTATGTCGAAATACACCGTATATGACTCCTCCCATCAGAAAACACCACCGGGTTGTTCGAATCAATGGTGAAACGTTTACTGGACTCTGGAAAACTCTGACCATCGTTCAGAAAACGACTAGGTACACGGAAAAAACAAAACAGTTATTTTCAATATAAAAATAGTAAAATTAACTGTATTATACAATTGCTATAGGGATAGCTATAATGTTAGTCAGATTTACTAAAAATAATATTTTTATTATATAGTTATGATTTTATAGTAAGCCAGACAAAAATTATAGTGTTTTGTACCAAACATGTTTAGTACTCTTTACTAGTTTCGTGAAATCATCCATGTCTACATATAAAATAAATAAGTAATTTTCATCACAATATATTATTATATATTCTACTATAAAAAATATAAAGATAAAAAAAACCACGTTGAGTAACAATTATAATGATTTTTTGCATAATTAGTAGTACCTATAGTTTTAAGTATGTATTTGGCAGGCGCCAGAGCACTATTTGTTTTCTCTCTCTGACCCACGCGCAACATAGCAAATTTACGTTCAGCAGACCAATTTTTTGTTGTTGCTTTTAGTATTAGAATGAATTTACTTATTATCAAACTCTAACTTAAGAACATTATCTGTCACTGTTTTTTTTTTTTAATATTTTTATTTGTATGCGATTCTTAAGTTTTAACCAATTTTAAATTATGCTCATTGGCTCTTACACGCTCATAACTTACGTCTTACTACGCATTAAAGTATTAAAAAAAAAAATATAACGACACAGGCAATGTTATAATTTGTTTGATAATAGATAGATTACAATACTAACAGATCCAATACTAAAAGTAACAATACACAATTGGTTCTGCTGAACGTAAATTTCATAGGTATAAGGTGAGCCTGACATCCTTTTTAGACAGGACAAAATGAGAGATAATCACCGTGATTTGAGTTCACTTTTACTTTAAAATAATTTAAAGACAGATACAATTGGAAGAGACTAAGATAGTATATAAATTATACAATATATTCTACAAATAAATACCTACATATTAATTTGCTAATATTGTTCTTCTAATATATTTTTCTGGCACAGCTAGATTAAAAACGAATCTATTAGTTACCCCAGCCCCCACCCCAATAAAAATCTTGGATAATTCCCTTAATATTAAGACAATTTACTGTAAGTACCTCCTATTTCTATAGTCTGTATGATGATAATAATAAAATTAATATTACTATTTACCTACTCTTTTATATTCAAAATGTTTCAAATGTTTATATAATATGCATTGCCATGCTAATAAACGTAGCCATGTAGGTATAATAGGCATATTCGTATTATGTATTTAGATGATTAATTATGTAAGAATAAGTGTGAAAAATGTAACTGTATAAAAATAATTTAATTTTATAATATAAATGATAAATATTTAAACTTACCGTTTGATGTCTGTAGCCTGTAATATAATTTTGTCTCTAAATAATAATTCTTAAACACTGTACGTTTGAGTAAAACTGTCGGAGCATTAACAATAATATGATGGATATTATATTATGATCATTAACACTGGTAACCTATTTTAATTCGTAATGATTAAAATATGAACTTCATGAATTATGAACTGTATAACATGACAAATTAATATTAATATTTAATTTGTCATGCTGTATAATAGTCGATCGACGATTGAGCAATGAGCATTGGCATTCGAACCATTTGTTCATTTGCAATCAACACGATGTTCGCTGAATTTAATTTCGCGAAATTCAGTGTTGCATCAGAGTGCTTATTGTGTTCTTTGTCGATGGTGATCTGGGTTTCTACCACGGTTGTAATTTGTAAATATATGATATATCTACGATTTTCGATATTCTTTCGGTATTTCATATCTATAGTATATTACAACTATATAGTATACTAGCTGCCCGATCTTCCTCCGGAAGAAATTATTTTTTTATAATTTAATTTAAAAAACATAAGCCTATTTTTTGGCTATACAAATAATACAATATAATTACATATTGTAGTTATTGTTATTGCTAATTTCTGAAAATTATATTTCCTACATTTAGAATTCAACCACTGGAGTGGTACATTTTATTCTTTTTATTATAGAATAGAGATAAGGCAGAAAAAAATGTAACAATAAATTATTTGTTCAATGTATAATATATATATTTCAAATGGAAAAATGCAAGTGCAAACAAATAAATAATTAATAATCATAATAACAATAATAAATACAGTGTGATTCCTTTTAAAGGTAACACTAAATAATTCTGTCCAGTGACATCGGATTAATATGCGGTTTTCGGGAGGGGATAGGGAATATATAAATACAAATTTCTTGATGATTTTTACATTTTTCGATCTTTCCAGGTTTAGTAATTCAGCACTTATTTTATCATCGACATCATTTGGTCTAATTTTATCAACTAACCAAACCAGTAAGGCAGTAAATGAACATGAGGAAGACCTTAAATAATGAATAATTATACGTAGAAAAATAATAATAATTAAATAATACTATTCATTTATTACCACTTTTTTGCCACTCAACAGTATACATATAACACTGAGTTTCACCAAATATCCGATGTTTCACAATTAAGTTCATTAGAACTTTAATTTTTTGATGAAAAACTCTAGCGATAATGTCGTGTCTGTCTTGTGTAGTTTGACCATGTTTGAGTTCTCTTTTTATTTCCATCCAATTTGGATTACATGTAAATGTAATGAACAAATTTGGAGTCCCAAAATTACGAACGTAAGTCATGGCATCCATAGTTTTTTCGTGCATGTATCTAATAATTAATAGTATGTACAATATTTTAGATTGTTAAAATGAATATTACAGTACATTTTTCGTAGCAATTTTAAGTTATAAGATACAAAATATTTTATTACCTTGGACCTCCTGTAAATGAAGAAGGTAAAATAAAAAGTTGTCCAATGTCATTCACTTGACCATCATTTTCTATAGCATCACGTAAATGAATATAATCTTCCGCTCTTAATTTTGATTGATTATTCCGTATAAATAAAAGCCGTTCTGATTCTATTTTGGCATACATATCAACCTTAAAAAAAAATTACATTCTTTTTGTATTATTATAATGTTTATACATGTTTTTGATTAAGTTGAAAAAATATTGTTTACTTACCCAATATTTATTAATAAGTTTTCTATAATTATGTAAATGATTGTAGATATGATGCCTCACCATCAGTCTATAATGTTTTGAAGAAACAGTTTTATGACTATTGTATTCATTTAAATTAACATTAAATGACAAAATATCAATAGCATAACCATCTTCACCGTGTAGAAATATCAGTGGATATTCTAGAGAATCATAAGACCTTAAAAACACATAAGTAAAAATTAAGAAAAAATGTACAGTGTATACACTTTAAAAGGAATTTACCTATGAATTTCACTTATTCGTTGTAACTTTTCGTCTTTTCTAGATAAAATTATATCGCGATTTCCATATTCTTCTCCAATCATTACTACAGCCATTTTTACTTGAGATGGTGCATTAAATCTACCTCTATGTTGACCTTGAGGAACCATATTTGCATTTATGACTAATCGGTATTGATCAGTGGGCATAATATGATCCAATGCAGTTTTGAACTTAGTAATTAAAGGATTGATATTATGTAACAATAATTGCAAATCTCTTATAATATCTAAATGTATAAATATATAAATTAAAACGTTTTAAACAACAAATATATTATACAGTACAATTACCTTTATTCAATCCACTGCAAATACCCATTCGCACATCAATTTGTTCCTCTTAGTCATCCATAAAATAAACTTGTAAATATTTATGATTTGTATTTGGTAAAGGCATCCACGACCCGGCTAAATGATACACTTGACCTCTTATTTTAAATGTAGGCATATCATTTTCGACAATAGTTTCTGCTGCTCCAAATTAGGTCATATGAAATGCATTGTTATATTTATTAATATTTCCTAAAAAGTGTTCTGAAATACTTGTTGAACTTTCCAAAAGAGTTTTCATTGGTTCTGGTGGTTCATCGATATTAGGAATACGAACAGTTCCATTTAAACAACACATACACATACCAGCAGATTCTCCTTTAATTAAGAAAATAATATAAAATGTTTTCAAAATTCTAAAAATGTATACACTAATAAACTACCTTTGAATTTCATTGCATTGCAAAATTGACAAATTACATCCATTACACCGATACAAACATCATCGTCGTCATAATATGGATGCTTAGAGGTTGATATAAATAGGCAGACCGGAATTTTACCCACTTGAACGGTATATCACCTAAAGTATATGCATTTATAATAATAAATAGTAGTGAAACATAGGCGAAGTATAATAAACAGATATATTATTTAATAATGTATATATACCACATACCAAATAATGTGGGTTCAACATTTGGTCTTAACCTCTTACGCTGTGTAGTAAAAAACATATTGGTTTCAAAGCGACAATTGCACACTCTAAAGTTTTTATTATTCGTACGAATATTGTTTTCGCGTTCCAATAAATCGGTCCTGTTGCAACTATTAAGCCATTGTATTAACCTATAAAATATATTTAAATCATTAGGTGGGTACACTTTATAGAATTATTAATTACAATTATCAAGTATTAGGTGTTATTAAATACCTCCCTCCTCCATTTTGAATTGCATACGATGGAATTGCCTGAATGCAATTTGAACGAAGTTCACAATTATTATTATTATTATTATTGAAATAATATATTTAATTAACACTTGAGAAAAAAATTAGATCTGTAATCTGTTAGTAATGCTATACAACAAACGACTGAACGATTGGAGTTAGAAATGTCGATCTCTTCGATCGAATAAATAAGGGAGCGCGCATGCTTTATTTATTATTTTTTTTTATTACCTTTGTACATTATTATAGGTCAACGATTATAAAATAAACAAAAAAAAGAAAAAGACATCGTTATCGGTGAATATATGAAAATAATTGGTAATTAGTTAATTATTATTATTATTATTTTTATGAGGGTTCAAAACCATTTTCCTTCGTCTCCAAAATCAAGTTAGATTCTTATATATATAGATTACTGAATATTATTTGATCTAACTACTATCAGATCGGGAGTTTTTAAATTTTTTCCTCGATATCTGTGTATATAATATATTAATATATACAATGCGGTTATCGCGTACCAAGCAGTTTGAGTGAATATAATACGAATGAACGCATGACTAGAATAGGAAATGATAATAGTTGTATTAAAATAAACAGTTTTCTGTAGGTAGGTAACATATTGTAATATTAGCCATTATGCGTAGTCGTCGTGTATCTATATTCTATAGTGCAGGGACTCGTCTTTTGATTGTGACTGATGGGGGCGTGATTTTAGCTGTTAAAAATCAAAATATGAACAGACACGATAGTATTATAATTAAATTTAACAACGAGAAAGCAAATTTGAATATTCATAATCTAGCGTGTATGAATATTATGATGATACATATTGCAATATATGTGATTATAAATTATAATAATAATATTATGTAAGATATAATAATACTATAAATAATTGATTAAGTTGTATATTAATAATTAATACAAATACAATTATTGTACGCACGTGGGACTGAAGAATTCATATTCATAAGTTAAAAGTACTTGCAACCATACATTAGAGGCATGTGATTTTTTAGAATATCTGAAAAGTATATTTTTGTTTTCAGTATGCTCTGCGTATTTGTTTTTACTGTTCTAGTATAATATAGAGATAGCACTAGAACGGTATGAGTTATTATATTATATTATTATATTAATAATGTATTATAAGAACGCTAAACGTGTTTGGATTTAGGAATTTTAGCCTGTGCCCTACCACTCACCGTGATTATACTTGTTAGGAAACCCACGACGGTTATTATTATTTTATATACTCAACGCGTATTACGATTGTTGATGAGATATATTAATATATTATCATTATTAAATTGTATCGGATATGAAAGGCTCCAAACTAAGTAGGCACACCTAATTATATTTAGAAAATATCTCGGATTTATTAAACGCAACACTAAACATTTCACATCAGTGAATTATCTTCGTTCCTTCTACTTTACATTAGTGCGATCAATTATCGAGTATGGAGTTGTGGTATGGCACCCATACCTTGCAAGACACCAGCATAAGCTAGAGCAGGTACAAAATCGATTCCTAAGCTACTTAGCATTCACGAGTAAAACTGACGTGTCCCCCCATGACTATGTCCAACTACGTAAAATGTTTAATATCCCATCTCTCTCTTCGCGTCGCACCGATATAGATATATATTTTTTAACTTCCCTTCTAAATGGTACTTTAGACGCTCCTAACTTACTTGCTAAAATTCCATTTAAAGTTCCTACCCTTGGAATACGAAACCTAGACCAGTTTTATGTTCCCCATCACTCTACTGCCTATGGTTACAATCATCCACTTTACAGAATGCTCAGAATTACTAATTTAAATGTACCCTAGCTGTTTTGGCTGCATTCTCAGGCTGCTCTTGTTATTTGTACGCTCTAGTTTTTGTTAGAGTTTTTATGCTTATTACTGTTAATTTGTTATCTAATTGTTATTACCTACATATTATGTATTATTGTTTAACTGCCGATTGGCGTAAAATATATATAAATAAATAAATAAAAAATTATAATATTCGACTAGGGTTTGACTATAAGCTAACCGAATCGAACAGTCATTGACGATGAGTATTTTTAGTAAGTACATCCTAGCTAGGCACTTATTTAATGGACATCAGTATTATTAATTGTTTTAGTATCATATTCGCATATCAACCGAGTAGCATATTGCATATACATACATAAGCTAAACTAGATATTTTAACTGGACTAGGACAAAAAACATTTCAACATTTTATTGTGCTCCATCCAAATATATAAATTCTTTATTTGTCTGATTTGTGCCTATTCGTTCATAAAAATGATGCCACGACCATAGACATAACTCAGTAGGTATAAGTGTATAACTCTCTCATAGGTTGTTATAATAAAGCCGTGTATAGATATAGATGGAACATCTTACTCATTTACTGTGTAATCATTAAGATTTGTTTTTATAAATATCAATAATTGTAAATTAATTGTTAATTGTAGTCCTTAATCAGTTTATTTTCTAAGGAAGACGCCATATCAGCCCCTCCTCATCCGAATTTTGAATTTTAAGGACTTTTTTATGTCTCAATATTTAGCGTCCAAATCAATTATAATAAACTGCTACCACGTAACTTAATACGTTTAGTACATTTTTAAAACATAGGTTTTAATTGTAACTATTAATTATTGTGGAATATGTAGTATATACTAATCATTGTTAGGTATCTTCAATTTCTTTTATCCACAGCGTATACGCATGACAAAAGTCCGGGAAATTCGACTCAACTTAGGCGCAATACACACACCGACTGAATGTTAATAATACTGTCAAACTAAGTGAACGGTCGATACAGTAGATATAGGTACGCACATATTCAAAAACTCATGTGAATTGTTTACACCTCACTGGTACATTCCGATTTCGTTCTCCAACTTTTTATGACTTAGGAAAATGTGTAAAATATGACAAATACATACTGTTCTTTGTAGGTCATAATGGTTAAAGGTTCGTCCGTAAACAATATTGATACGTAGATGGTTGTAATGATCATCATTCAACAGTTAGTGGTTGTGCGATTTCACACTCTCATATTAAGTACCTGTAATAAATGTAACTATTACAGTATAATTATTTATTATACGTACGTTTCTCCACCCCCCCCCCCATATCGAATTTCAAAATTTTTTTTGGTTAAATATTTAGCGTGCAATTAGCGTGAATTGGCGTGACTGGTTTTGGAATTTGCTTGGCACTAGGTCAAGTTTAAAAATGTAAACAAAGTGGGGGGGGGGGCTGTAGAAACGTTTCTCATCCGAATTTTGAATTTTAAGGACCTTTTTTTATGTCTCAATATTTAGCGTGCAATTGGCGTGAATTTGCGTGACCTATTTCAAAACCGTAAACCCAAAGGCCCAAGTACTGTGGGCTTTACCCCTTTATTGCCATTTCCCCAGCCCCCCTCAAACAGCAAATACATTTTTTTTCGAATTTTTTTCAACGCCAACATTTAGCGTGCAATTGGCGTGAATTTGCGTGACCTATTTCGAAACCCTGCATTCAAAACACCAAGTACCACGGGCGTTACCATTTTTTAGACGTTTCCCCAGCCCTCCCCCAAAAGACAAATAAATTTTTTTTCGAATTTTTTTCAACGTCAATATTTATCGTGCGATTGGCGTGAATTTGCATGACCTATTCGGAAATCGTAAACCCAAAGCCGTGGGCTTTGCAAATACGAAATACGAAGAACATACAAAATAATTTACGAAAGTTATAAACTACCTATATAGTATATACTAGAGGTGGGTCGAAGTGTTCGAAGTTCGAAAAATCGAACCCAGTTTTAAAAAAACTGAACCGAACCGAACACGAACAAAAAAGTTTGAAAATCAAAATAGTTCGAACTTAAAAAATTTACGAAAAGCAAAAATTCTAACATGTCAAACGTTTCGAACTAAAAATGTAAATATATTTATAAATTTATAATATATAATTTATATAATCGAAGTTTGTAACACGCTGAACAATATTAAAAGCTAATATCAATATTGATTATATAGGTAGTTATTCATATAAATATATGGTAAATCGTAAATATGTGGTTCGAGTTATACTTCACACTAAAAAGTTCGGTTCGACATACCAAGGTGGCAAGGTTCGGTTCGAGACCATATTTTTGATTTCTACCCACCTCTAGTATTGTTTATAATATATGTAATATGTATTTATTATGATCTAATAATAATTCCGTTAATAAAACAAAATCATTATAATCAGATGATTTTTCCTGCCAAAATTCGAGAAATTTAAACCGTTGCTACTCAGGGTCGAAGACTGAATGAAACATTATTTAACCGTTTTAATTCGTATGAATATTGTGTGTAATAAAACCTTAAATCGCTTATTTGTACCTACGTATTCGGTGTATTACCATTTTTAGTATCAATAACTCTATAGGTACCTACATAATGTGCTCAATTATGTATCCATACTGCAGTTTTTAAATGTTATTTATTCAAAGAAAATTAGTGATCTGACCCTTATTATATTGCATATAATTAACAAAATTGATCACATGGATATTATGCTAGAAGATACATTGGAATTTCTGTTAAAAAATAAAATAAAATTTTTACTATATTATTATATACTAATATATATGCATTAAGCAGAAATGTATGTATTAAATATAATACATAATAAATTATTATATAAAATATAGTTTATTTATTTTATATATATTATTATACTCATTTATTCATAAATAATATGTATATACTATATAGCTATATAATTAAGCTATATTATGCTATACGTAAATAAATAGCTATATGTAAATAAATATATTAATATAGGTAGCATTATATACAATTAAATGTAGACTGTAGAGTGCATGAATCATTATAAAATCCAGTATAATATCATAGAATTTAGCATTAATGGTCAGTCTAATATAATATTGTCTTTTATTTATTATTATTATTATTATGTATGTTTGAATAAATTAATTGAAATCATACTACAGAATTGTGTTTATGTTAAGCAATATACATTTATAGTACCTATACTATATATTATAATGTAGATTATAATATGCAAAAAAAATAGCCGTGTATACCATTCATTTAATTTAATTATTTTAATGGTTACACAATTTGTGTGGTTAATTCAATATTCCATGATCAATATGATAGGCTACTCATGGTAGCTAACTTACCTGTCAACAGTATATATATAGTATGATTAGTATGTGTCGTAGTACAGGCAGACTGATGCCTGATACTAACATTGTCGATGAACAGTTGTGTACCTATATAGTACCTATACTATATATTATTACATTACATACTAGCTCTAAGTATAACTCGGGGCCCGTTGGAATCGCTGAGAGTGGGTACCGATTTTGGAGACAATGAATTATAAAAGTCGCAAAGGTTGTAAGACGAAAGTTTAGGATTTGTGATAAGGATTAGTGATATGGATTGGAGATAAGGCTAGACGCTTTGGCGGGAATGTTAAAAGTTTGAGTGTCTAGCAATCCGTCACAAACGTTGTAAATGGATAGGCTGGATACGATCTCCAGGATCACCTATATAGAGTATACCTGCACATAGAGTGGTATGTGCCGTAGCATGACCGGTGCTTTATCTTATGTAAAAAGTGTAAAGTCGAAAACCGTGTTGGAGTTTCTAGCAAGTCAGTCATCTCAAGTCAAAATCTATTAACTTTCAAGTTAGCCACTTAGGTAGGCAATCCGACTTCGTCGGATCGCGGACTATGTGCTACAGCAAATCAGGTAGGCAATCCACCTGCGGTGGATTGCAGACCCGACATCAAGCGGCTATAAGTGAAAACCCTATCACACAACTTACGAAATAATTTACGAAAAATTCAAACTATATACATACAAACAAATATGATATGTATTTATTGTGTGATATAATATAACAATGAACATTTTGAGAAATGTGCAATTATAATTCCTAAAAAATATTAACATATAGGTAGATAGTTAGATACATACTATTATATTAACCAATACATATAAACATGTACCTACCTATAGTGTATATATATTAATTTAAAAAAAAATTGCAAAAACCTGCATGTTATTTGTTAAAGTGTCTATCAAGTCAATCATCACCGTTTAAGACGAAACTAAAATGAGCAATCCGTCTATCACCTATTATATAGTAGGTATATCACATAGAGTGGTATGTGCCTTCGCATGTCCGGTGTCTTTTCTTATGTAAAAAGTGTAAAGTCAAAAACCGTGTTGGAGTGTCTAGCAAGTCAGTCATCTCAACTCTCAAGTCAAAATCAAGATTAACTTTCAAGTTAGCCACCTAGGTAGGCAAACCGAAATAAAATACAAACTATATTTATATAACAATCATGGAAATTTTAAAAAATATGCAATTATAATAATTCCTAATAAAACAAATATAATATGTACCTATTTATTGTGTGATATAAAATGATAATGACTTTAAATAATAATAATGTACGATATGTTCCTGTATTATTATATTATTATTTAATTTATATGAAAAATAACGTGAAAAAAAATGCAAAAAAAATCGGGATTCGGGCGTCCGTGTATACCATATGGCATTAACAGTTTCAACGCACGGACGGCGTACAACGGATTTGAACCCGGGACCTAGTGTTACCTACCTAACGCCTAACCTACTCGGACACAGTTTGAGATATGAAAAACAGTGAAAACATTAACACTACGGAGCGACGTAAACCGATATATTCGATGTACATCGATGTTATCGCATATAATTCGCTTGTAATACGCGCATCTCCCATATATTATATATTTAACGGGGCGTGTGAAAGCGTTTTCCGTTAATAATTATTAAATCATAAGGAAAAATTAAATTATACACGTATATACATGTATATATACGCGTGCGGCCGGTCGGTCGCCGGCGTAATTTCCAAACGCGATTGCGAGGCGAACGAACCGATTTTGGGGGAAAAGCGCATATAAACGGCTTCAAAAAGACTCGATTCGGGCACAAACGGGTGCGAATAGACGAAACGGTGGGAGAAAAGGAAAATATCGGCAAAAAAGTCCTGTCGGAGTGTATTTATTGATCGACATTGCACGAATATAAACCGCACACCGGTGGCTTCGAATTAAGTATATAAAAGGGCGAAAAGATATCGTGTAAAAACAGCTAATTTTCCGAAAATCGGCGAAATGATAGGAAAAGAGGTGATACCGAAAAACGTTTTAAAACCGACCGCCGCCACTGCGAAGGTACGCGATTGGTCGCGCTATAAGGAATCGACGGGACACGGCCGGCGGGCTGGGGAAACGGAGCAGTGCTTCATTTTTTACGCCATGGGTTCGCTATAGCCGGCGTTTTCCTTTCCATTGGTACACTATAGACAGCTGATTTCCTTGTCATTTTATATATTAGGAAGGATGAAGGATTACAGCATAATATAAGGTATAGCATATAAGCTACTCATGGTGTAACTGAGTAGCTATTTAATTACCTCTTATAATATATTATAAAAAGTATTGTAGTAGGTAGGTATACTATCTGTATTAGTATTCGGACGTCGTCAATCAACGTCTCTGTAAGAACCGTCGTCGACTTGAGCTTAAATATATTATGAATAAAGGTTTGTTTGGCTACTAAAGACAAAGCAATATGTACAATAATACAATGCAATATTTATTGAATAATAATAATAAAAATACAGTACATCAGTATTATTATATACCTACAATAATAAATCTATGTTGTAACGGACAAAGAAATTTATATTTAAAGACTTTAAGCACATCTTCGTTAACTCAACGTCTCGTTTTTTTATTTATTGTATTCATGAATACTTTTCCACACTTGACAAAAGATTTGAACTACATTTTTTGAACTGATTTTATAATGTTATGGGTTTTATACATTTATCTAACAGCAATGCTCTAACTATTGTCTAATTAATGTAATGATTGATGGGAAGAATTCTCAACACTTCTTCCATAGTACACTAACGTCAAAATCTTTGTTATGAATTTTAAACATTATTCAACTAGAAAAAACCAACTACTAAATTGTTTTTGAATCAAAAAAATTTAAAAAAATAAATAATTTTCAATTTCCAAACAGTTTTTACTTTTAATATTAAATAGTAACTATTAACAACTATTTAATATACTGTATTGTATATAATTAAGTTGAATTTAAATAAAATTCACACACTTTAAGTAACAAAATGTTTACATATTAAAATTTAAATATTTATAATATACATGTTCATTGTTTTAAAAATATTTTAATTTAAATCGTGTAAATTAAAAATTCACATAATATTAAACTGTTTTCCTTTACTGGAATTGGCCTTTTTTTGAGATCATCGTACAATTCCCAGTTATGCGTACCTCTTTTAGCATAAGCTGTATAATGGCCTATCGAATTTCTCAATCCATTTTTTCCTTTATAGAAATGTATAGCACCACGAAGTTCAAATGTGATGCTTTCATACACAAGTATCTGTGGAATATCACTCAGCTTTACTTGAACCATGCTAGCTGCTTCAGTACTACACATGGATGAAGTTAGATCATTACCTACAAAAAATATGAATATGCTTAGATTTTTAGCTGTTGATAAAAACTATTTTTTACTTATAGAACTAAAAATATATTTACCTTCCCATTGCAAAACATCAATAAATAAATGGTGGGTTGATATTTTTGAATGTACAGCTTTCATACCATCACAATTCTCACTACATTCCAAATACTCCACACCAGTGCGTTCTTTGATGAAATGCTGTAAGCCACTTAAGTTTCCGTTTTTTCCCGTCTGATACGTTAAATACATAACTTGCCACTTGGATGTTTTTATGCAAATGTTGGAAGAACATTTTGAAAATTCTTCAATTGTTGGGTAATCTTTTAGCAAAGCTTTCATAACATGACCCATGGTAGCATCACATTTAGCTAATGTGATGTTATATTGCAACAGTTGTAATTCTGGTTTTAAATAAAGCATTATAACTTCTGTTCTTTTAGTGTAAGTTGAGGATGTAATTCCATTTTTCACTAAACTTGATATGAAATTGAAGTACTTATCATCATTGAATGAATCCATGAACTCTGAATACATTTGACTATCACAATATGATATCTGAAAATATTATAATTTGAAATGGCAGTTAACAAAATAATATAGATTTTTAAAGTTTAATATTATTATAAAACTGTGCATCAAAACTTGATACCCACTAAAATACATTTCTAAAATGTAGAAAACAGTGGATTATGTGTATTAAAAAAAAAAATTATTTTAACCAATTTTCATAAATATATAAAATTATACCAACAGTTATTGTTACTTACCATGAGTATAGATGATAATGCATCAAATGCACAGGTGTTACTTAAAACAACTCTGTCGGTTTTGTTAATAGTTTTAGAACTCTTTAGGTCTTGAAATCTTGACCCATTTTTTAAAATAGGCAACGATTGAATTTTATTGCTATTCTTCAAATTCAAATATCTTAAATGCGGGTTTGGAACTAAATAAGAACAACTTTTTCTTTGTTTAAGGCTTTTACGATTCCATTCCTCAAGTGCGGCATTTTCTTCAGTAAAACTCGTTTGTCTATTGTTTTCTATATCCTCATCTACTGACATTGGGTTATTTTCATTAAACTCATTTGAACTTTTACAACACAACTCATCAATTAAAGTAATTTTTTTGTTAAAATGTGTTTGTTCATTGACTGTATCAACTACAATCAATGCTTCATTTTCATCATAATCGTTGAATTTTTCCAAAACAAAAGATGGTGACACATTTTTTGAGAGACAATTATCACCTAAATCTTGTTGATCATTAACATCGTGAGTTTCTAACAAATTAAATGAAAATGAATGATTCAAATCAGTGTTATATCGATCTTCAACTTCTTCAGTAGAAGAGTATGGTGACATATTAGATTGATTTTTGGCTATTCGGATAAGTGATGCTCCTTTTAAAGACATAACATGATTTTCTAAAAATATTTCAATATTAGTGGGTAAAACAACATTTTTCATAGTGACCGTTTTTAATTTTTTGAAGCTGGATTCAACTGCAGCTGAACTACATATTTGTTCTCCATAGTTGAAGATTGGTATCATAACACCCGACCATAGGGGGAGAAGCTTCATGCATTTAATTAATATAGGGACTAGTGATGGAATATATAGAGGATTAAGTTCAGTACCGTCCTGTATTAATGATTTACTATTTTCAAAAGTTTGTTTTGCCCATTCCTCAAATGGATTATGAAGTTTGTCAAAACCCTTCATTAGAACGTTCATACTCTTCTTCGATACACATTTTAGCTTCATCTTCAGATCTTGCGTTATAAATTATGTCTTCAAATTGTTGCTCAAAATCTACAAATCCCGTTGATGTAGCTTTTATAATAATTTCTTTGTGTTTTTCACATGGTGTCTGTTCGTGTGTACGTTTATTGTTTCCAGCTGTTTCATTAGTAATTATAACAAATAATGACAGTAACATTGATTTAATTTCAATTAGTGACTGATTTTTAATTAAAATACCAATAGAGCGAAGAATAACTTCTTTGACCCTTCGAGGAACAGTTTTTAGTGGTATCCAGTTACTGCATGTTTTTACAAAATGAGCAACATCAATCCTTATAAAACAATGTGGTACTAAGTGTGAATTTCCTTCTATTCTTTTAGTCAAAAGATCAGCACAAATTATGATGTAGTCCTGTAGCGTCGTATATTGTGTAAAACTTTTTGCAATGGCAGAAAGCAATGCCATGGATTGATCACATACAGCTTCTTTGGGTCTTGGAACATTACAATTGACCCAACTGGATAACCAATTAGAAATAGCCAAACTGTTATGCCGCTCACTCAACATATTGGTAACTGTAAAACTACATTTATTTTGTGAATCATAGACCAATCCTTCATACAGAAAGATTGAGCTTGTTTTTTGCTTGCTCAACTTTAAGAATTTCTTCACAACCGAACCTGTAGCATCAATGATCAGTCTGGGTCTTGATCCTTTACAGTAGTTCCTGTAGATTTGGATTTGATCAGCACAATGGTAATGTAAGGAAAAAGGATCACATCCAATATCATGAATTATGTTCTTAAAGTCATCTTCTTGTTTCATCAAAGCTAACGACGTTAAGGTATCTTCATGTCTACGACTGCCTGCTGTCACTCGTGATTTTAAAATGCGTAATGAATTACCAGATGGAATAATGGACGGATCAGGTGCACCTAAAAAATTACAGAAAATGATTGATATGATACACATGTCACATGATACATTTAACTATTTTTATAAGGTAATATGTGTTGATTTTTTAATAAAATTATACTAGGGTAGAAGTTTGAAAGTTGCCAATTCAATAAATGGCAATTGACATACCTGTTTTTATCAGACGTACTGCTTCTCTTTCTCGATACGTTTCACTTGATAGTCCATCGACACAAATCGATGAAAATGCTTTTTCCATTGCTGGTCCTATCATACGACATTTTTTTGTTGTTTTGTGTGCCTCTTGAAAATTACCTCTGAATGTACAATGCATAAGAACTCTATAACAAATTTAAATTATTAAGTATGAAATTACTAAATATTTTTAAATAAATAATCAAATATTTTAATTTGAATATTGAAGTACCTACTTTAATATTTTTAACAAGTACTTATGCAAATTGGTAGATTATACAATTTAAATGTAAAAAATTACTGATGTAATATATGATAATCATTTTCAGCTTACAAAGACAATGTGCACCTATGTACTTAATATTATTGATGGAAACAAAATATAAATTATTATCTATTTGAAAAATTTAATTTGAGGAATATGTTTTTAAAAAAATTCATACTCTTTGATAATTACATATTAGGCAATTTACTTTTATTGAAACATTAAGTTATCACAATAATATACTTACTTAGCACCACCAGGGGGTTTATCAAAAACTGTCCCATTAAATCTGGAGTCGCAAACAGAGCAACGTCCCACGACATGTATGTATACAGATCCACTGGGATAAACTTTACCTCTTCGGAAAGATAAACAACAAGGCAGTTGAAAGTGTGCCCAAAAGTGTTCAGCAAGTATTGGTGTCCATGTACCTTTAGGCAAAACATAATACGATCTGGTACTTTGCATCGGACGAGATTTATCTGTTAGCTTAAACACTTTTTCTTGAGGTTGTATCTGATCCCATTCTTCAGATGAAAATGTAAATACAAATTTTTTACATGGGAGTGCATCACCTTCATCATTAGAACTGTAGTCATCAGGCGATTCTTCTAAAAACATTTGTAACCATTTTAACATTAGTTTTAATGGTATTAATAAAATAAAATAAAATAAACATATAAATTACATAGTATTATGATCTATTCACTCACAAATTTTAAATATTATAAACATAATTTACTTACCATCATCTGGTAAGATTGGTGTATGTATAATTTCACAGGACTGCTTAAATTTTAAAGGAAAACCTAGCTTTTCCATTATACCATGACGTCCCTTTTGAACAAAAGTATGAATAGCATTCGAGGACATGCGGTCACCAATATAAAGCCTTATATCTGTCCATACTTGATTTGTAGCTGCAACTATATCTATAAATAATTTCAATAAATTATAACAAAATAGTATTCAAAAGTAATTTAATAAATTGTAAAAAATTTGAATGCACAAATTGTCATGTAATTAATGTTTATTGATTTATTATGATTCAAAAAAAGTAAAAGGAGTGTAATGCAATAATTGACTGTTTAATATTGATCAGTGTTAAATAATCATTACTTCTGTATTAATACCTACTGAATAGTATGATACATTTACCTAATAATGTTTATATTATAAAAATGTATTAAGTATATAATAGATTATTTATTTATTTATTTTTTATTGATCTTAAGAATGGCAACTATGGCCATTAGCTGGATAATTTATTATAATACAGTTAACTGGTACCTATTTTAACATTTTGTCAATTTTATAACATTGACTGCCTGCTGATATGAAATTTGTTTTTAACATTGAATAACATTACCTAGTATATAACATAATATATGCAATAAAATAACACCAAATTGCAATTTTGAGTATAACAGGCAAACCTTCCCAAAAGCAGAGAAAATTAATGGTAATGGTAAGATTAAGAACCCAGAAGAACCTCATAGATTACTGGTAAGGAGAGCTTTGATATTTAAAATACAATATAAAATATACAACAATTTATGTCTTTATGTCAGCACCTTAAACCTCACTATAGAATTAAATAAGTTAAATACAGTAGGTACTTGATATGCTAAAAAACAAAAAACACTTACACATTTCATTTTTCTCGTTCTTCAAAACCACTCGTTCTTTGAATGTTAGAACTAATAGAACTGCATCAATTATATCCAAAGGTGGAACAGCTCCTTTGCGTCCGACCATTTCAATCAGTTTGAATTTTCAATAATTTAATCAATTATGATTTATGATTCAAATAATTTAGGTCTATTAACTATACACAGTGAATCAACAAATCAAGCGTAATAAAACTCAACTAGATATGTAATTACGGTACTGTTCAATTAATATTTTGACAGAAAAACTTAAAACACAGATGTTAAAAATACTTGTTACTCGTGGAAGAGGTTATAACATTGTGTGGTTTGAAGTTTCCAAAAACTGTACCAAAATAAAATTATTGTTATTGTTATTATTTCTATTTTCTTCCCATAGCCAGCAGCTGAATAGGGATGCCAACATGAGAATCAATTGTATTAGGTACAATATTGGTATAAGATATAAATAGATGATGAATAATAATAGTTACTGATGAGATATAAAAATTACATGTTAGATAGGACCGTTACATTGGCAACACCATATACAAAAATCCAGAAGAAAATTGTACCAACAAAAAAACTAATTTGAATAAAACTCGCCTAGTTGAAGACAAAAAGGAATATTTAATAAAAAAAAACTGAAATCAAATTAAAAAATTGAATTTGAATAAAAAGTTTTTATATTATTTTAGTTTAAATTTTTTATCAAATTCAATTCTTTTATTTGAAGTAAATTGTTTTTTTATTAAATAAATCTTTTTTTATTGAAAAGAGATTTTTTAATCAAATATAAAAAAGTCAATTCTTTTATTTGAAGTAAATTGTTTTTTTTTATTGAAAAGAGATTTTTCATTTTTTAATCAAATATAAAAAAACAATTTATATTAGCTTTTAAGTTTTAATATTGTTCAGCGTGTTACAAACTTCGATTATATAAATTATATATTATAAATATATTTACAAATTACATTTTTAGTTCGAAACATTTGACATGTTAGAATTTTTGCTTTTCGTAAATTTTTTAAGTTCGAACTATTTTGATTTTCAAACTTTTTTGTTCGTGTTCGGTTCGGTTCAGTTTTTTTAAAACTGGGTTCGATTTTTCGAACTTCGAACACTTCGACCCACCTCTAGTATATACTATATAGGTAGTTTATAACTTTCGTAAATTATTTTGTATGTTCTTCGTATTTCGTATTTGCAAAGCCCACGGCTTTGGGTTTACGATTTCCGAATAGGTCATGCAAATTCACGCCAATCGCACGATAAATATTGACGTTGAAAAAAATTCGAAAAAAAATTTATTTGTCTTTTGGGGGAGGGCTGGGGAAACGTCTAAAAAATGGTAACGCCCGTGGTACTTGGTGTTTTGAATGCAGGGTTTCGAAATAGGTCACGCAAATTCACGCCAATTGCACGCTAAATGTTGGCGTTGAAAAAAATTCGAAAAAAAATGTATTTGCTGTTTGAGGGGGGCTGGGGAAATGGCAATAAAGGGGTAAAGCCCACAGTACTTGGGCCTTTGGGTTTACGGTTTTGAAATAGGTCACGCAAATTCACGCCAATTGCACGCTAAATATTGAGACATAAAAAAAGGTCCTTAAAATTCAAAATTCGGATGAGAAACGTTTCTACAGCCCCCCCCCCCCCACTTTGTTTACATTTTTAAACTTGACCTAGTGCCAAGCAAATTCCAAAACCAGTCACGCCAATTCACGCTAATTGCACGCTAAATATTTAACCAAAAAAAATTTTGAAATTCGATATGGGGGGGGGGTGGAGAAACGTACGTATAATAAATAATTATACTGTAATAGTTACATTTATTACAGGTACTTAATATGAGAGTGTGAAATCGCACAACCACTAACTGTTGAATGATGATCATTACAACCATCTACGTATCAATATTGTTTACGGACGAACCTTTAACCATTATGACCTACAAAGAACAGTATGTATTTGTCATATTTTACACATTTTCCTAAGTCATAAAAAGTTGGAGAACGAAATCGGAATGTACCAGTGAGGTGTAAACAATTCACATGAGTTTTTGAATATGTGCGTACCTATATCTACTGTATCGACCGTTCACTTAGTTTGACAGTATTATTAACATTCAGTCGGTGTGTGTATTGCGCCTAAGTTGAGTCGAATTTCCCGGACTTTTGTCATGCGTATACGCTGTGGATAAAAGAAATTGAAGATACCTAACAATGATTAGTATATACTACATATTCCACAATAATTAATAGTTACAATTAAAACCTATGTTTTAAAAATGTACTAAACGTATTAAGTTACGTGGTAGCAGTTTATTATAATTGATTTGGTTATTTAAATAATAATATAATACAAAACATAATATTTTGTACAGTGACAAGCGAATGTCATACGAAAATTTTTTACGATTTTTATATTTAAGTTTTATCGATTGTTATAAGATTGTTTTTTATTTTATACGTAATGTTCAATAAAAGGATATTATATTACTATTATGTGCCTATACCCGCAGCGGGATTGTTTCTCGAAAACCGCGTTCTTCCATTGTACTTCCGTCACTCGGAAACATTCAAGGTATAATATTATTATCTACAACACACATCCGGTGTGCTCCAGACCGATCCGGCCTACTCGGTTGTGAAATTCTCCCAGCGAGGTTTATTTTTAATTCATTAAGGATTTTCATTTTTTATATTTGACGTGATAATATCGTTGCAATCGTCATTGGCTCACCTGAGTGCATCATCGAAGTCGTGATTACAAAAACGTTTTTTTTTTTTTTTAAATGTTATTAATCAGACGTTTCTATACGTAAACACCAACAGAATTTACGAATTTGACGGGATACATAATATAATTGTTGCATAATATACCTACGTATTGGTCGTCCCGTCCAATTAGTGTTTCGATTGAGGACTAGACGAGACGCGGTGAAAACAAAATAGATGTAACTGTTGAATTGACTATTATTGCAAAACCGAAGTGGAAAAACTTTTTTTCAGAACTTTCACCCGTACAATTCACTGTAAATTCAATATTTGTTTTTATAATATTATGAATTGTGAAGTATAAAATTGGAGTTGCCTGAATGAATTGCCCGTTCTGTTGACACGAATCAGGATTAAATATGCAAACAATATTTAAACAATTTACGTATCGCAGATAGAACTGTTATTTTTATACATTGATAATAATAATGAACTACTTTTTTGTATTTGACGATACAGAGATTGGGTTAAAATCCAAAATACAATATTGTCAATTTCATCTTGAGGAAAATTACTTTAAAATTGATTTATGAGCGAATTTTTAAAATCAACATTGATGTATTTATTAATATGCTGCTGATTGAGTATGCGAGTGTACATATTTCGAAGTACCTTTAATTCCCAAATAGTTGTTGATGTACTTATGTTCGTCTTCTGAAAAATAAATTATAAAAATTAAATTTCTTAAACATAAAAAATATTAATGATGTGTTTGTTTGCCGGAATTAAATTTAACTAAAAGTCATATATATTTTTTTTTAATCTAAATAAATGATTTAAAAAATGTATTATATTATATAAAATATTTTAAGCGAAACCACTTGTTTGGAACAATTTCCAACCCTATATGGCTGCATGGTAACCTACTGTACAGCAGAGCAACATCCACTTACCCACCTTTCCTACTTAATTTTTTTAGTTTATACCACGTTTTTGAAAATTACTCGGAATTTTTTTTTTATCCCCCCCCAAAAAAAAAAAATTCTAATTAGATTCACTTTCCTATCAACAAATAAATGCTGAAGTAGAAAATTTGGATACCAACATTATTTTGCCCCCCTCAGAATCTTAAAAAAAAAAAATAAGAAAATAATCTAGAAGCTACTAATAAATATGTGTTATTAACTTCATGCGTTTTAAGAAATGTACTGTATTTTTTTTTTAAATGTCTTATAAAATATTGGGTGGGTGGGTAGAATAAAATCTTTGCTCCTTGTGTGAAAATCGTTCGCCACGCCACTGGGCGGATATCGTTACCATATTATGGCCATGGCCATTTTAAATTAGATTTTATTTACAAAATTAGTAAATACGTCAACAACACAGACCACAAATATATTACATTTATTTATTAATTTTGTGTCAAATAACCGCACATATAGTTATATAATATAATATAATATAACAGTATATTATACTGTTTTGTCAATTACGCTTAACGATCGTCGTAAGAGATACGCACGAAGAGAATACAAATAAATAACAAAAAAAAAAACTCGTGAACAAGTATAAACGCGTAGGAAAAAAAAACAGAAAACCGAATGAAAAAAAAAAAAACAAAAAGACTTCGGTGGGAGACGAAAACACACCACGCGAACGGAATAAAAAAATATAAAAAAACCGACGTTGATTACAATATTACAGCGTTTTGTTCCCACTGCGGCGGCGTACTTGACCGCGAGGAATCCGACGGGGGTTTTTGTGTGGACAATAATAATAATAATAATAATATATAATTCCGTACGGTCACTAATAGTATCGAGTTACACATTAGAGGCCCCGCGGGTCGTCGTCGTCGTCGTAGTTTGGTCGCCGATAAAACGGTCGGAAAACTTGAAATTACAGGTACCTATTCTGCAGGGCAATTAGCAATCGTACCCGTGTAATTTTCAATGACGACAACAAAAGAAAAAACACACACGCGCGATGTACAAATCGACGTGCCGCAGACGTATATAATATTGTGTGTCGGTCCTAATGAGATTGTGACGAGTTTTGGGAGAGCTGTCAGACGCAATTCACGGTCATTTGCCCGACACGAAAACACTCGGCGAGGACCGTACAGCAGGCAGGCAGATCGTAATAATAATGATAGTAATAATATTATAATATCATCGTTGTTATCGCCACTATATTTGGCGATTTTCGTGGGAAGGCATAGGACCCGTCCGTAGTTTATAATATTATAACACTGTCACTTGACCTAGCCGTACACCATCGAGGACGCCACCACAAGCTGAGACCAGAAGAGACAATTTTAGAAAGTATATAGCACATTTGTAAATTTTCTTTACCAATATTTAGTACGTAATTTGTATACAATTGTATGACAAACTTCAAAGTTTGAGAAGAGTCGTACAAATTCATAAAAAATACGTACTAATTTATGGTGTAGTTACAACTATGATTAATAATTTTTAACCTTGGGTGGGGCCGAAATCACATCACCTCAGCCCCACCCATTATTTTTGTTTGATAACGGGAAAACCAAGACCGTACAAATTTTGAAATTTGTCATACAAATTCTCACAAATTACTTACTAAATATTGGTAAAAAAAATTTTCAAAAATTCCAAATGGGTAGGACGTACGTCAGTTTTAGGGGTGGGCTCATAGTTTATGCTCAGTTCGCAGCTAATTACCTATACAGATATTTCTTATTCTATTAAATTGATAATCTGATATCACGAGCGACTCGGCCCCTCTTTGTGTGTACCTAATCACGTTCATAGGACTAAACGAAAAGCGAGCGGCTGGTTTTATTTTTACCGAAATCGCGGTCCCTTACGTAATGTGGGTACATATATAGTTTTCTTCTGTAGAAAACCGTTCCGATCGCGACTTCGGGTGTGGACTATATTCGTTCGGCAGTCCTAAACTAAATGGTCTTCCATTGCAACGGGTCACCAATGCAATTCGAACAAACGCTCGCCACAACTTTATGTTTGGACTGTTTGGAGATATTATAGGTAGGTATTATTAGTTTCAAATAAACTGCAAATGGCAGAAAACTGCAAATGCGGGTAATTTCCGGGAACGCTTCGTTACTCAAACGCCTGCAGGTTAACTTGGAAATTGAAATAGTTTTGTAGTCTCCTTTATTTTGGAGGGAGGCTTTGTGTAATTTTCGGGGGGGGGGGGGCATAGCCACTTCGCTACTCCAGCCTTCTTAGTTGAGCTTATGTCCATAAAATATACATCCATTGTTCGTTATATATCCATTGTTAATTATAACTTATAAGGTAGGTATAACATTAATATCGTATAAATACACAGCTAATATAATATGCATCTGGCTATAATTGAATTAATAACTACTAAATACGAAATAATATTATATTAAACAATGGCATAGTATTATAAATAATATTATCTTGGACCGTAGTAACGAGATTTATTTATTTAAACAATAGTTTTTAAAATCACTTATTTATACGACCAAAGAAAGACCGGACAAACTTAAGGAGAAACGATGGTTATAGTGTCCATTCCGCGGAACTATGGAGAGGCGCCCAACTGAAGTGGCGCCTATAACGAGACATACTGCAGAACTGAGGACGACGAGAGGACCATCGGCGAGCTATCGGACCGGGATGCCGGAGGACGTGGTCGGCCTTTGCGGTGACCCGGTCACGTTCTCGTCGGGTCTCGTCGTTTGGACGGCTTGGGGCGGTGCATTACAACATATACGGCCGAAATCAGACGGCGGAGCAAGAGCTGGATGGCTCGATGGCGGAGAAAAATATAAGATATGGCATGCAGCGGCGACACACGCAGCAGCCGCAAACGCGGAAGAAGGATAGGGAGGAGCAGGACACGTTTGGAAATTAGCCGCCGCCGAAGGACCACCGAAAGCATATGTAACGGAAATGCTGCCCGCGTCCGGGAAACCGGCCCGCCCGGCGACGGGATTCGTTTTGCAGTGGCGTTATGGGAAATCGGCAGGGCGAACCGGACGAGAAAGGCAGGCTGCGGAGATCGAGGTGCATATATATACCAGAGTTGGTGTCGGAACCGGAGATAGTCGAAGGAGGAACTGACAAGAAGTGACGGTGAAACTGAGGGGATAAGGAGCGAAGTGGCAGTTCCACGAGAAGCGCGAGAAGAAATATTTTTAAGAAATACGATTCGACTGCATGACAAATTACTTACATTACAACCAGGCCGGCCGTGACAGATGAACCTTTACCTTAAACATTACCAAATATAACGACCACATAACATACGTAAGTTATATACAGTATTTTTGAACTAATATAGTGTTACAACTTATTATAGACCATAATATTATGATAATGTCGAAAAATCGTGAAAATTTGTTTAAATTTGTGTAAAATTATAATTTCAGCATAATATCCGTATATTAACCCGTGTTAACCGGCGAGTTTCCACTAATTAATATGCTCGCCGGAACCAGGCCGGCCAAAAGCCGGCCACGGCAAATCAGCCTCACCGCAGTAACCCCGAATTGAATAGTACCAAACAAAATCACAACACATAACATACGTAATTTATAAGTAAACTATAGCGTTACAACTTATTATAGACCAATTTGTTAATTTTCAGTAAAATTATAATATTTCAGCATATACGATTGATTAACCGGCGAGTTTCCACTAACTATGCTCTCCGGAACTCTTGAAGCCTTATGTCGCGCTTCTCTGGACTGTCAACACCGTCACGCTCCTTACCCCCCGATCTGCAGTTTCACCGTCACTTAGAAAATTCCTCCTGTCGCCATCTCCGGGTCCAACAAGCACCTCGATCAGCAGCCTGCAATAGCTGTCTACAGTCCGAACCGCCCGCCCGAACGCCTTGCCGCTGCAGAACGAACACGAGCCGGTTGCACGGACGCGGGCAGCGTTTCCGTGATCGTGGTCCTTTGGAGGCAAAGGCTGATTTCCAAACTCGTCCAACTGCTGCTCCCTGATCCTTTCGGTTGCTGCCATCGTCGCTGCATGCCGTATTCTTCGCCGTCGAGCTCCCGCACATCCTCGCTTGCTCCGTCCAGAGCACTGAACCGCAGTTGGCCGGATGTATAGTTGTAGTGCACTGCGCCGTCCTGGTCCGACAGCCCGTCACCTCAGAAGATCCTCTCGTCCTCTTTGGTGTGCAGTATGTCAGTAAAATCCGCGGCAATGGACATTTCACACCAGCGTTTCTCCTCAACGGTTTGTTCGAACGTCCGGTCGATGCTGTGGTCGTTTCAGAAAAAAGCATTAAAAATAAAAAAGAATTTCATTGTTTTATATTAATAAAGAAAAATTTACTAATTAACATTGATTATATTTTTTATTTTTGTTCATAACTCATAATACTTATGATATTGTATAACTAAAATACCTAGTATAATTATAATACCAATTAGTTCAATATTAAATGTTAGAATTTGAGTGTAATGTACAATTTAAAATATGCATGCTAATCGTGTTCAATGTTAATGTAAATTAAATCAAATATAAGTATTGATTATGATATTAATATATTATGTGTAAAAAATACTTACCTCGAAAAATGGTATTGTTGAAAACTAAAAATAACTCATTTAAAATTTAAAATGACAATGAATGTCTATGTCTAACACCAATTCGTAGTTAAATTATACAACAGTACATAAATTTTTCAAGTACTTTTTTCAAAAGTTGGTTACTTAAAAAGTAGGTAGTTGAATACTTTTACAGTTAACTCAAGTACTTTACAAGATTCCTATGCGTCCATTTTACTTATGAGTTTTTGATGAGACAAAATTAGAAATAGTACTATAACAAATACCTTATGTAGTAAAAAAAAAAAAAACGGTGAAAAAGGTTTATTTCATATGCGAGGGGGGAAAGCTAAAGTAGGCAGGGGTAAAGCGTGAAAGTTTAAAATAGTAAAGTTTCGGGTTCAGCGACAGTCGTGCAAATGCATGCTAATGACGTGCTAATGTTTGATAAAAAAAAAAAATTGCAAAAAAGTGATTATTAAACTTGTGGGGGGCTGGGGTAACGTTACGCCAGCCCCCCATAGTTTTTTTATGAATAACTTGTAAAAAAATGTAGTGCAAATTCTAAAAAAAGTCGTGAAAATGCATGCTAATGGCGTGCTAATTCAAAGTAAAAGTAAAGTCAATCTTAACTCGCTCAAATTCGGTGAACAGGGATGTATAGCCACTGCGAAGACAACCGTCAGCCGTCAAAGCACAACGCCATGACGACGGCCCACAGGCAGGGGCGTGCTCACGGGGGGGATGAGGGTGTCATATCCCCCCCATGAACTTTTTTTTATGCATTTACTTAAGTTTCTTGCTGATTAAGTTTAAGCTGATCATTTTATTAGTATATATACAAAAAAACAACCATCAATTGTTGAGACTGTTGACACTGATAGGTACCTATGTAAACAAAACACTTGATTATAATATTAATTTAAATTAATTATTATTGAACACGAATTTAATAATATATTCCTAATGGCAGAGGTAATCAAAGTCAATTTACAAATTGTATATTTAATTTTTATCAAACTATTTCTAAACACGATATAATGTAATTTAGGAAATGGCTAAAGTTATCAGCTTAAATCTATTAGTGAAAAGAATAACAAAAAGACAAACCAATCGTGCAAATCCTTTTACAGATTCGGATAATAATAAAATATCAGAAATAAACGTTGAACGTTATTATCGAACTACAATATTCATTCCATATGTAGATTTTTTTATTGTTCAATTAGAAGAAAGATTTATTGCACACAAAAAAATTTTTAAAGGTTTTTCTTTTAGTAGTATTTAGTACTAATTATAATTTTTACTAATTTGTAAATGTATATAGGATTTGAGACTATTTTTTCAAAAAATCAGTTTTTAAATACAAGTGAAATTGAATCCTTTAAAAATCTGGCAGATTTTTATTCACCACACATAAATAAAGACAACAGTTTAGCTGAACTAAAAATCTGACGAACAAAATTATTGGAAAATTCTGAAGTCATTAAAACTGGCCTAGATACTCTCCAAACCTGCAGTTCCTCTATTTATACAAAGTTGAATAAGCTATTAAAAATTTTATATGTCCTACCCGTTTCAACATCCACCCCAGAAAGAACATTTTCAACATTAAAGAGGGTGAAGACATACACAAGAAACTCAATGCTTGAAGTAAAATACTCTTCAACTTATTAGTTTAACCGAAATTGAATATATACTTACATTTTATTTTAGGAACGTTTGAATGGATTAACGCTATTGGTAGTTCATAAAGATAATATAATCGTTACCTACTCCATATGAAGTCTTAGATGAAATGGCTTAGAAACCAAGAAAACTTGAATTTGTAATTTAGGTCTTTAGACCCGTAATTTTAACATATGTCCGAATATATAAAACATTAATATATTTTGAATTTTATGTTTAGCTATATAGAATATAGTTTTAAAGTTTTCAGTGATAATTTTAGAATAACAAGTAGGTAGGTATGTATATAATATAATATATCTAGACGACTAGACACGCGGTAGCGTGTCAAGCCAAGTTCTAGCTAACAGAACTGGCGAGCAGCACCGTGTGTAATATTACACGAACCATTTGGAACCACTTTTGACCCCCTCATAACTCAAAAACTATTCCACATAAACATGTCAAATTTGGCTCATATATTGAGACTAACGAGATACATATGTGCTCTAAATTTCATAAACACACTTCAAACCGTTATTTAGATATTAAAGTCCGAAAATCGTCATTTTTATCACTGGCTGACCTATAGATCAAAATTCTAACCCAGTTCCAGATGACCTAGAAAGTTCAAATTTGGCATACAGATAGGTAGTTAGGTTAATACAAAGGAAAAAATCAGAAACTTGAAAATTTTTAATTTTAAATTTTAAATTTTTTAATCAATTGATTTTATTATAATTTTGCAATTATTTTATCTATTATGTTTAATTTTTCAATTAATTAATGAATTGCCTCTAATTTAATGTAATTTTGACTTAAATAACCTTTCCCGTATCGCTGCTCCAAAAATACGACTAGCCAAATATATGTCGATATTGTCGACCCGCGCGCAGCAACATACTTTTTTTTCTATCTATGTATGTAATTAATATTATTTTTTTTAAATATTACAATTAAAATAATTAAATAATTATTAAAAAAATAAAAATTTAAAAATTTAAAACCTTAGATGGAGTACATCTTATCAATTTAGATCCAAGTCAAATCAAGGCACAAGAGATCTCTATTGTAGAGTACAACCACCTGCGCACGCTATACCGCCCCGACTTGGCCAAATTAAATATAAATAGAAAACGCGTAAAAAAAATTCCAGATACTGAATGGGCAATTCACTCAAACATTTTAAAAGTTCAGGAAAATATAAATAATAACACAAAAAAAAAAAATTTTAACCTGTAAACGTAGGAAAATACAATAGTTTAATAAAAACCATTTGGAAATAATTTTATTATGAATAAATAGCTATTAAAAATGTACATACAAAAAGTAATGATATCCCAACAAAACATATATGTAAAATGATAGCCAAGTTCAATTTTGTAATATATGCTTTGATTGTTGACTTCAACGACAAAAGAAGTGAGATCTAAATGGATGCCAAGTTCAATGGTCAGTCCTGAAATTTATTTATAACAACATGAAATATAATTTCTTCTTATCACTTAGGATAATGTTTTGAAGCCTAAGGTCTGACTTGGCTAGTTTCTATATACGAATTATGTTATAGCCTTCGCAAGTTCTAAAAAGTTGGGAGTTCTTTTTTATTCTTCTAAAAATTTGGCTTGCTATTAGAAACTAGCTATCGAACATAGTGCTCTTCCAGGACTGTTTTAGTAGGTACTTGATGATAATTCGTAAAATATGGAAACTAGCCAAGTCAGACCTTAGGCTTCAAAACATTATCCTAAGTGATAAGAAGAAATTATATTTCATGTTGTTATAAATAAATTTCAGGACGACCATTGAACTTGGCATCCATTTAGATCTCACTTCTTTTGTCGTTGAAGTCAACAATCAAAGCATATATTACATAATTGAACTTGGCTATCATTTTACATATATGTTTTGTTGGGATATCAACCTACTTCTAAAATACCAACGTATACACCTATAAGAACATTTTGTGTCTATGATAATCAACAAAACAAAATACGGTTCATCCCCCCCCCACCCCATTGGAAAAAGCTGAGCACGCTCCTGCCCACAGGTTCCTGAATTTTCGTTTTAAGTCATCTAAAACTTTCAACTTAAAACTACCTAATGCAACGGCTAAATAGACTATTTAGCTATGCCTAATACGTTATACGATATAAACACAACGAGCGGTAATAATCAATCAATAGTGAAATGTTATTTGTATACAGATATAGGTCGTCAAGCGTTCAAGCAAACACGATAGCGACACTCGTCAATTCACGGGACAGGTCGGAGAACGTGCAGAGGTGACCAGTGGCCAGCAACACTGCATTTTCACACCAATCGCCATCTCGCATCCTCCCCCCTTGTTTATTGTGTCTATCCTGTCGGTCTTATTTTTTTTTTTAATTTAAGTTATTTTAAATTACAAATTGTTAAATTGTTCACTTATTTTCAGCTCTTTTCTTATAATAAACATATTTTGATGTGAACAAAAAAATATTGTTTCTTTTTAAGATAGCTGGCTAATTTAAAAAGGGTTAAATTTGTTTTTTTATTTATCAGATTTTAGTACTGTTGGCCTATTTTTAAGACTATTTTTCGGGTTGCCATTCGTACCACCCAGGCACGTAGCCAGGGGGGCCTGGGTGGGCCGGGCCCACCCTAAATATACTCTGGCCCAAGGCCGGCCCCCCCAAATTCAAAATATAATTATTTTTACCAATTATCAAAAATGTGATTATGCACATTGAGAGAAATCTATTGTGATTACTATTAGGTAATACAATTATTATTGTAATAATTTAATTTTTATATTCGGGGAACCGTGGATAACTTTATCTGAAAAAAATACAATATAATAGGGTCTTGATACCCTTTTTAAAAACAATAATATATTAGCCGCAGTTATAAGTCTATGCTAAGTTAGCTTGCGAAAGAACTTTTTCATGTCTGAGACGACTGAAAACCTTTCTGAGGAATCGCATGACAAATGATCGTTTAAATAATTTAGCTTCAATGAGCATAAAAAAAAAAAATTCTAAAAACTTAGATCTAGATATTTTTGTACAATTGTTTTCGGAAAATCATAAAAACAGAAAAATTATTTTATATTGCACTGTTTAATATTTATATAAGTATAAGTGTATTATTAATATTTTCTACTAGTATGTGTTTTTTTTTTTTTTTAATAAATTTGAGTTTCTTTAAAAATTATATTAATTTAAAAATCGATGATCATTTATCTCTATTATTTTTGATAAGTATTCAAATATGAATTAATTTTTGAAGTTAAACAATTGAAGCAGCTTATTATTTTAAATATGTATGTAGATTTATTTTTCATAGCATGAAAAATGTATCCCATAAGTGAAGATGTAGGTAATTCTATATTTATTTTTTTTTTTGTTACAGGTACTTTCTATTTTTGTAATTCTTAAATAAGTAAGTATTAGGTATAACTTGTTGTGAAAAAAATAATTTTAACCAATTACCAACTAAAGGTAAATTATTTAAATTAATAAGATTCTTTGTATTGCATACCCCTTACAAGAATTTCATAAAGAAAAATTTTGGAAAGTAATAAAAGGGCCAAACATTATTGGCCCCCCTAGTAGAAATTTTCTGGCTACGTGCCTGGTACCACCACATGACATCGAAAATGTATTCGTTGAACTTGTATCTATATAATATGTATCCAAATATAGATTGTAGGATGGTTATTTTCTTATTATCTATATATTGCATACCTACTAATACGTAGAAGCTGATTGTTTATTTCCACCAACAATGTTGGGCTCAAGAGCTAAGAAAATCCTCGGTAATACTACAATAACTAGGGCTCGGATTTATATGTAAATACATATTTTCTCTGCGACCTGATAAACTAATTTCGGCAAGTGATAAATTCGTTTCACAAGATTTTTGATAAAATGAGCTATATTTGATTTTACATATTTTGTCATAAATACATGTTTTTACATATTTCACAATTGTTTTCACATATTTAGACAATTTTACTGTTTTAGCGTCTTTTCTTCAGACTTGGCTAAATAAGGGTTCCTCGGTGACAAACGACCGTCGAACTCAACCTGTTATATTTTCAATTATTTCTAGATACGATTTTATCGATTGAAATATCAGATATCTTACCGTAATGTATTACGATTAACACATTTTTAAACACGTTGGACACGAACGAGTGAACACTGCGATGAGTGTGTAGTTTTTAATGTGACATCGTAGTGTGAGTTTCGTTATATTTTACATGTTTATTACCAATAGGTTATGCCAAAAGTACAATCGTCTAAGACTTGCAAAGCAACAAAATATGTTTCTGAATATCCAAATGAACATTTACAAAGTGAAGGCCACGTTTTGTATTGTACCTACTGCTTGTAAAAAATCGATAGCAATTGATTATTTTTTTTTTTTGATAATACCTACATATTTTTAATTCTTTAGCACATATTTTGTTGTATATAAATACATACTTTGGTTATATAAATATATATAAATCCGAGCCCTAATAATAACTATATACAGGGTGTAATAGAATAGACATTTTAAATAAACCTTTTGTTTTCATACATATTTTTTTATTGGTACAACATATAATATGTGATATTATTATAATTATTTTATACAAACTAGATTTTCATGAATAATATGCATGTATAATATAGGATTATATATCATTGTTTACATTTGTATAAATATATAATATCATAGAACAATATAATATAATAAAGTGTGATACATGTAAATATGTAATATTATGTATAATAACTAATAAATGTTATACGACTTGCTAGAAAAGTGTATTAGAGCAGGTGCGTGACGCTGGCACCCGCAAGTTTGAATTTCAACTCAAAAACCACATCAGTAATTGTTATACAATTTGTACAAATTTGTAACCACAATTCCAAAATTTGTACACCCCCCCGTCCCCCGTAAAATCCAAAAACAATTTCCGGGTGCCAGAATCACGTGACGCTGGCACCCGGATTTCGATGTATTTGGCCTATCGACCCAAAAACCACATCAGTAATTGTTATATAATTTGTACAAATTTGTAACCCCAATTACAAAATTTGTACACCCCCCGGTCGCCCGTAAAATCCAAAAACGATTTCCGGGTGCCAGAATCACGTGACGCTGGCACCCGGATTTCGATGTATTTGGCCTATCGACCCAAAAACCACATCAGTAATTGTTATATAATTTGTACAAATTTGTAACCCCAATTACAAAATTTGTACACCCCCCGGTCGCCCGTAAAATCCAAAAACGATTTATAATCGTAATTAAACCTTTTATTGCATTCCTACTATCTTATGTTTTTTGTTTTAAATTAATGTTATTAAATGGGGCGCCCGTTAATTGATCCACATTTTAACTACCTACCTGATTCGAATAAAATATTTGTTTACATTTTACTACCCGGATTGGGCCACAAATTAAATCTATATTTTTAAAGTGTACCCGGAGATTGGGCCATAAAAGTATAGCACACAAATATACTATTAATACGAATATATAATAATGTTCATTAACTAATTATTATTGTTTTAACATATAAAAATACAATTCGTCAAATAATTAATATTTTTTTTAAATACTTCCATACAGATTTAACTAATTTAATATACAACAAGGTCCATAAAATTAGTCAAATATGAAATAATTTTTATAAAGAATGCTAATACTCATTTTACAAATATAATATAAGGACCATAAAGTTAGTCAAAAAATAAATAATATGAAAAAACATTTTCTAATAGGTACATAAAAATATAATACAAGACATTTCGATCTATAAAGTCAGTCCAATAATAAATAATAATAAATAATTTTTATAAATAATGCCAATACTCATTTTACAAATATAAATAAATATATAAATATTGACTCTCATGAGCAAAAGAAAATTTATAATTATTAAAAATTAATAAATTTTTTCCTCTTTCGAACATTAACACTTCCATTGCACCTACTTTATATTACGAAGTACGAACCACGCGTGTATTACTAGATGTCGATCGTATAGTTTGCTAATCAACTATAAACGATCACAATTTACAATGTTTCATATTCTTTGCACACTATACGCTTATGACTATTTTTATCCATTTCATTTGATGACAATTGATAATTCTACATCATAAGATATTGTATAATTTATTACCTTTTGATAAGGCATACGCAGTCGCTTCGAGTAAAGTTTCGTGTGCGCTGCAGTATTAGGAATTGTATCAATTTATATAAAAATATGTATACGCGCAACATAGACAAAACGCATTTACGGCATTTTACGCAGAATACTTTTTTTTATGATTTTAAGTAATCTTAGAGTAAACAAATAGTGCTCTGACATCCTAACCAAACCATCTGACTTCAATATTATTTTATTACAATTTAAAATGTAATAGCAGTGGCCCAATCACTGGGTCTTCCTATTATAAATATAAAATTTTAGTGGCCCAATTACCGGGCCTACCTTTAATAAAATAATATAAAATTTTGGTGGCCCAATTACTATATACCTATGTAAAAAAAGGTGAATTGTGGCCCAATTCCAGGGCGCCCATTAAATGTAGGTACTGAATAATATAATTATAATTAAATAGGTACCTATAACTTTTACCATCTTTCTTATTTTTATGCAAAAATTATATTTAATATATCTTAAATATAACATTTACCTATTTACGTGGAACCCTGTTTTAAATGTTCAATCCTTAGCTAATATATAACTATTATAATAGTTGAACATTTTATAAATTTTTAACTACAAAATAACTATTACATTTTGTCAAAATTTGAACTTTAAATGCTCATAAAAAAAAATTGTGCACATGTGTTTTTAAACTGCTATTGTAACAATATATCAGGAGCGTTGCATTAAATGTTTTTTTACCCAACAAATACAATTTTATTGATATTTATAGAAAAAAAAAGTATACAGCCCAAAAACAGTCAAAATATTTTCAACATTTTATCGTGTATAGAAAATGCAAATATAAACGACCAGTGAAAATTTCATTTGTTTTAGAGTTAGACCAAAAACCAATATCAATTTTGTGGAAAACCGTTTTTCCGTAAAAATTCCCATTTTTCCTTAATTTTTATGCTGTTTTTCCCCTCGCTTTTGAAAGCTATTGGGAATTTTGACCTGCCCAATGCACCAACAATATTCACTTTCCCATCGAACAAGATACAGAAGTTGAAAATCTAAGCATTATTTCGACTACTTATCGTGTACACAGAGACACAAAAAAAATAATCTTCATAAACATGTTTGAAGTCAAATATAATTGGAAGATTGTCAAAAAGTCTTGTCTGGCACCCGGAAATTGTTTTTGGATTTTACGGGCGACCGGGGGGTGTACACATTTTGTAATTGGGGTTACAAATTTGTACAAATTGTATAACAATTACTGATGTGGTTTTTGGGTCGATAGGCCAAATACATCGAAATCCGGGTGCCAGCGTCACGTGATGCTGGCACCCGGAAATCGTTTTTGGATTTTACCGGCGACCGGGGGGTGTACAAATTTTGGAATTGGGGTTACAAATTTGTACAAATTGTATAACAATTACTGATGTGATTTTTGAGTTGAATTTCAAACTTGCGGGTGCCAGCGTCACGCACCTTATTAGAGCCACGAGATGTGTTCAAGTAATCATTAATCAAGTGTTAATAAAAGGTGATAAACTGATAAGTGTTAACCGCATATCCACCGGTCCAACAGCCAATAAAATCGCATTTCAGACAAGCTATAGTGTGGCCGAACTCGTATATGGTCCTTAAAATACGATGCTGGGTAGACTTGGGAAGACACGGACTTGAGGACTTCCCATGTTCAGCGACCGGCCTCGGCCCGTTTTGTGGCGCAGCGGAAACTTCATACAGCTGACTGTTCGACTGTAATATTATTTAAAAATATTATTTCTACTTAATCGTAATAACTGCAATGTAATAATTGGGTATAAATGGGTTTGATATTATATTATAATATGACAAAGTGTCTTCACTGGAAGGCTTCTTAAATCCGTCCTTTCCTCAAGCCACTTATTCATTCAATTATCTATTTTACTTATTGTTCATATTTTTATTGTAACAGATTGTAAATAAAAATTATAAAAATAAAAAAAAAAAAATATATTATAATATATATTAAGTACCTATACTATTATTTATTAGTTTATAATAATTGGGATGTCATTTTCGTAGATATTGATCCGGACAAAATTATGCTGGCCCAGCGCTATGTCAAGATTTTTGGACGAAATTGTTATCGACTCTTTCAAACTGGACAATCTGATAAACGGTGAAGTTACCGTTACATCGCAGCCATCATGAGATGGACCAAAATATAAAATAATGTATGTCATCGGGTTGTCGGCTTGTGGATGATAAAATCCTGGAAGCTAGTGGAAAGGCAATAACCCCTAAAATCCTGTTACATCTTAACCTTAATAAAAAACAAGGAATGATTAAAAAATGGCAACGGAGTTATTGGCCTACAGATCTGAAAATGTGTTCTTGAACAGGTAACTCCTCAACGTAATATTATGCCCGGTCCAATAATAACTTGTCGTATTTACATCACAAAGATGCGCGACGACTGCTCACCAACGCATCGACATTCATCAAATACCTTTGGTAAGTTTCCAAACTGTACCGTTTATTCCTCCGGAATGCTAAAGAAAATTAATTGATTAGATAAATATTATAATATAACAATTTTTAAATATAGACGTTTTCAACTTACAGTTATGCAGATGGATGTCGACCAGTTTGGGACGGATTTTTCTAATGATTTCGAACATAAATAATACATTATTATAATGATTATTGTTATGCACAGGTACGGTCGGGGTTTGGTAAGTTCCCACACGAAACATAGCAGGTAAGCGAGTACATATGTAAGTTCCAACACGAAAAAAATACGCCGGTACGTAATTTCCCACACGAAAAAAAATACGCCCGTACGTAAGTTCCCACACGGAAAAAATTACAACTGTACGTAAGTTAAGTTATTAAGACTTAGGAATGACAACTTAAACGAAATTTTTTTAGGTATAAAATAATAATAATAATAGAAAAAAATCAAATTTTATTTGGTTTATTTCGAAAGCTCAAACACTTCACATAGTCAAATACTCACATAGTCAATCTGATATTTTATTTTGTTTTTCTTCTTCCACACATTATTTGTATAGGTATAAAATAAACAATAATAATAGAAAAAATCACATTTTGTTTGATCTAATAACACTTTACAATATAGTGTTTGAGCTATCGCAATAAACCTAATAAAATTTGATTTTTTCTATTATTATTTTTATTTTATACATATACAAATATTATACACATTATATTATTAATTTTTATTATATATTATACGGACTAGATTCAATTGGACTTTTTTTATGCAGTACAAAAACAAAACAAATTTTAACCACACCAACTACGTTTAAGTTGTCAGTCCTAACTCCTAAGTCTGAATAAAGTGGGAAGGAAGTTTGTGTTTGGCAAGGCTGAGCATTAACGAATTAAAAGTTAAAATTATAAGCAATGTATATAAACATTATTATGTGTCTGAAATTTCGTGTGGGAACTTACGTACAAGTGTAATTTTTTTTGTGTGGGAACTTACGTATGGATATCCAGAGGTTATTTTTACCTGCTATATCTCGTGTGGGAACTTACATTCGCCCGTACGGTCAGGTATATTAAATTAATTAAGTAGGTAGGTACTATATTAATATAGTCTATTAATTATTTTTTTACTATGCTTTTAGACTTAAACTTACATTATTGGATCGGACATACAGTAACGTCGAGTTGAGGTACCTGTCCATAAACACATTTTCGATCTTCCGTAAGCCGGCACCAACTCCGTTGCACATTTTCCAACACTATAGGCATTAAAATATGAATTATTGTTGCACATAAATAAATAACAATTTATATTTAAGCTGAATGATGTACAAACCTCATTTTTATCTAGGTTTTTTGGCAGATGTAACAGTATTTTTGGGGCAATCGTTTTCCCCACTTCCAGAATCTTATCCACGCACAAATCTAACGGCCCGATAACATCCATTTCATTATATTCTGGGCCGCCCCATGGTGGCGATGTGAATATAACGTCACCTTTAATCTGATTTGCCAGTTTGAAAAAGTCTGCAACAACGAACTCGATTTTTTCGAGTACTCCATAAATCCGGGCATTTTGCTTGGCCATCATAGTCTTGTCTTCGTCAATATCTACAGCAATGACTATTACAAACAGAAAATATTACAATTATTAGAAATTGCAGATAACAGGTACTTAATATATCTTAACATAATATTATAAAACAAAGTCCCTTTTTTTCTCTGAATTCTTAGATCTTTAAAGCTACGAAACGGATTTGGATGCGGTTTTTTATTAACTAATATAGTGATTCAAGAGGAAGGTTCATATGTATATAACATGCATATATTGTAGAGAAACACTGTACCTTATTTTTTTACGTACGAGCATATCTCGAAAAGAACTCTACTTATTTTTATACGGTTTTCACTAATAAATCGGTTGAGTTACTTGGAAGGTTTTAAGAAAGTCAATAAAAGCAATTTCAATAGATTATTACTTGAAAATTGGAGGGTGTATAGAGCTTGATTTTTCGACTCATATAGGTTGTAGATAGGTAAAGGGTAGCGCACACATGATTTTTTTTTAGCATACGAAAAAATAAATTATTTTTGTCAATCTAAATGGTTGCACAATTTGTTACATTTTTTATTAATATTATAATTAGAAGAAATATGGTATAATATACATTTTGTACAAATATATTTATTAAAATACAAATCTTTGGCCTGGAACAGGCTTTCGGGTGGGACAGCTATAGTTGTTATATTTTTTTATTATATATAAGTAGGTACATTATAGACAATAATTTATTATTACATTTCGGTAATTAAAATTAAGTAGAAATAATAATATGTTCACTTTTATTTCCACGAAAACGGTTTTATTTATTTTTAATGCAAAAAATATTACAGTACCTTTGTCGAACAGTCGGGCAAGCTGAATTATGTTTCCGCCGGCGCCGCAAAACGGATCCACGGCCACTTTCACTCGGCCACACTTTTCTGCCATATATTGGCTTAGTATCTCGGGACAGACCGAATAAAAGCTCTCTATAAAAACAAACATAATAATTATAATATATATATAATTTTTATTTTTAACATGATATGATATATATATATATATATAAATGTTTTTTTTTTTACATACCCTCGTCCATTAGAATACCCTTATCAAATTTCGAAAATAGCGTATGTCTTTTTCTCCAATATTTAAATGTAATTGGTCTATCGGTAATATAAAAAAAACATTATTTAATTTCCAATTATACCTATAGGTAAATGCACTTACGTGGTGTCGGTCCGCGCTGCTGACGGCTCCTCGACGCTGTATAAAGGCAGCGGAGTGTCGTCCATCGGACTTCCGGCGGCAACCAACGGCGGCGTCTGCTGTTCCTGACGGCTGGAGGGCCAGAGAAACTCCGCCGCCAGAAACATGACGGTGCCGACGGACTAGGCGACAAACCAAATCCCGAACGCCAGTGTAAGAGTCGCCGTCTCGCGCAGTCCGACGCCGTCTCTCCTGCGGCTCCCGGAAAACGGATTCTCAATGCCTGTTGCATTGCAGGACTCCTCACGATGTTAGCGATGATCGCGAGTCCTGCGCACAACAGGCAGAGTAGCAGTGTTATGTATGCTATGGCAAAAGTAAAAATGACGGTGATTATCAGCATTAAACCGACAACAGCTGTGAGATTGTCGTCCTGCAATTAAATAAACATTAAAGTTAGTAATTATTCATAGTGAATTCGTCGACAAATGTTTAACACACATGGGGGGGGGGGCTTGCAGCAGCGTTTTTCTATATAATATCAAATTATACTTACGTATTCTTCGATGAACAACTCGGCTAGTTTCCTAAAGTTTTCTCTTTCATACGGTATATTGAAAACTTTAAGTAGGTAGGTATTTACATAAAACAGATAAAACGGAAAAAAACTAATTAATACCAATTAAATAACAAAAACAAATCTATTTATATTAAACTAGTAGAAAAAAAAAAAACAACTGAATACTCTGCAATAGAGAATGAAAAATATTTGAGGGTTTCAAAGGGCAAGCTCAGCTTTATATGATAAGATAGCGTATAAGCTTGGCTTGGCGTCTAAGAAGGAAGTGTCAGGATTTCATGTTTGTTGATTCCTTCTATATTAAAAACACACCATTGGAAACAAACATAACTTTTATTATGGAAATTTATGAAATTAAATGAAATGAAATAAATAAATAAATAATACTTAATTTAAATAATTATTAACTCTGTTTTTAATGTAAAATTGAGTATATTATTATTCTGCAAATTAAAATCATAATTTAATAAAGCCACTGCCACATATTATATTGACGAGCAATGAGTACTGCCATATAACATAATATACATTTTCAAAAGATCTGTTATTTCTAATGCCTATTTGCTATTTGTCGAAATAAAAATATTATACTTCAAACTGAGAAAAATCTCTAAGAAAACATTTTCCACAAAGAGCCAATCAATAAATTATTATAACCTTATATGTATTCACATAAATTTTTGTATCTATATTCTGAGTAAAAATTTCATACATTATAATACAGTATAAAATATAACTCAATTTATATTTATATTATAAAAAATTATTAATCATTAATATGTATTTATGAATTATATGTTTCTAATTGTATCTAGATCCTCACATAATATTGCCACAGGTAGAGAATTTTTTTTTATATTAATATACTGAGTTAATTTTATACAGTATAAAATAATTACGGCGGTTGAAATATTGATTTGTCTGTTTTAAATTTAATTTGTTGTAATTTGTGTTAATTATTTTGTATGTTTAATTCGTGAATTGTGGCTATTGTCATTTCTTTTGTAATATTACTATATACGTTGGAATAATTGTATAAGATTACTTCGTTAGAATAGTTTACTATCTGGGTTTCTAGCATTAAATGTTTTTCGCTGCCTAAGCGGTCTGTAGGATTTATTTTATACTGTGTTAGTATATCATTGCTTGTGATATATATTTTTAATTTTGACTTCGATTTAGGTGCAATAGTAATATTGTCATTAGATTTTATTTTAATTTAATTTTTATGTATTCGTGTTGCACTTGTGATGCTTTCAGTTGTATAAATATTTAAATTATTATTTTCATTATGTTTGTAATATACCTATATATATATTTTTTTCTTCTTCTCTCTCTCTAAAAAATAAATTATTAAAATAATAGGATTAAAATTAACATTTAAGCATAATTTTATAGTCAACGACTCGAATAAGCCGAAACAGTAATATAGTGTAAAAGTAGATTAGTATTTAATGTAGTAATAAGACATTTGTATGTAGAAACATCATTAAAAATGAGGGCATTTTTTTTCAAAAAACAATGGGGACTGTCGTATATTGTAGACAGTCGTCAAAATATTATTTCATATATATAATAGAGGTGGGAACATTTTAAATTGTAAACTATTGACATAGGTCAGTGAAGCAATATGTGCTGAGGCAGCAAAATGGATTTTACTATATAAAACCGCCGTACACGCAGGCACGGGAGTCCCATTGTCGCTGAGTGAATGGGCGAGGACGTATGTACTGAAACGGCGATCGTAGTACGGGCTAGGCGATCTGAATTCGCCAAGTGTATTTTATTTGTGTTTGTTTTTTAAAATATAATAAAAGTGTTTCCGACTTGAAAACCCGAGTTACAATTATTTAAGTCATTCTTAAGTTCTTACCTTTAATAGGAGCAGCGCCCGGGATAGACTTACTATGTGTCAATGAGGTTTTATTAACCTGAATAGTGCCAAGGTATATGTAATCTTTGAGTCATTTTACTAGATTGGAAAGAACTTAGGATTGACAAACGCACACCATCGTACCTCCAAGTTAACAGTGCCATTCTAATTAATTTTAGAGAGTGTCATTAGCTAGAGAATACGAGGGTGAGGCGTATAGTAGGTTTACCACGTATTATCCAATACGGGTGATACGACAAACACTAATAACATGATTTTTATATTGATTAAAATTAATAAATGAAAAATATTTATATTATACCGGGTGTCCCGTGAGGATTTACTCATTGCGATATCTCCTGAAATAATGGAGATATCGTAATTATGTTTTTTTATTAAGACTCGCAGAGGTAAGCACTACAAATATTTTATTTTTTAATTAAATTAAATTTTTTAGTAAAAAAGTTAAAAAAATTATTTTTTTATTTTTGAAAAAATTGAAGATAGCCATTCTATAGAGTATATTTTTGTGAACATTTTGAGCTTTTAACATTTTATTTTCATTAATCTCATGATTTTTAATAATTTTTTAGTTTATTAGTAAAACGTCAATAAACTGGTTTTTGTCCGGGCGGCGAGTCCCCCTCTACGGCTAATGAGTAAATCCTCACGGGACACCCTGTATACTGGTAATAATAAGACACCTTTAATAATATTGCTTTGATTGCCAAAATTAGTTTTATTGTGAGGAATATTTAGGTTGTTATTATTTTTTAGTCTTGTATGGTAATCATTGGATGGTTGATAATCCTTAATTAAGTTTTTTATTGTATACATATATAATAAAGTTTGACGTTCATATGATATCCTAAAGGTTTGAACATTAAGAATTGTAAATATTAAATTTGAATTAAAAAATCTAGGTTTATTTAAAATAACTTTTATTAAAGATTTTATAGTTGTACATAATACATTAATACAGTAATCAGTGTGCTGGACTCGAATGACGTCACACTGATTAGAAAAAATATATACACTGCACGAATGAATGTTATTTATAATTTATATAATTTATTGTTATTAATAACGTGACTTTTCAGAATTACATTTGACGCTTCCTAACGTAATTAATAAAATGCGAAACAAAAATAATGAAAATTGGATTTTTATAAACGATGTTCAGAACGATATAATATGTCTTACGACTCAGATGAACCTTGATTTTTTCAATCAATGTGATTCCATTTTTATGGACGAATGCCGTGAAAGTTAAAACCTATATTCAATGAAAACTTGTATGTTTATTTAATTGTATAATACTTTAAATTAATATATCTATTCGCGTGAAGTACAGTTTTTGCAATTCTAATCAGCTATGTTAATTAATGTTATTATTGTAGTCGATCGGTGTTCTTGCGTTTTCGATTACGATGTGGATATACCACGGTACATATAAAATCATTAAAAGTATTCATTTTTTGAATCAATTAAATTTTATAAATTTCTAACATCCTAATAAAATTAAAAATATTAAACTGATTGTTGAATATTCTAACTAAACTAGATACATAGAATAATCATAAAGTAAAAAAGAATTTAAATAAAATTAAAAATGTTCAAACGATTTAAATTTTCTTAAATCTATTTAAAAATATTTACATAATTTAGTACCATAATATTAATTGGACCCTGATGAATAAATGTATGTCTGATGATTGATTTAATTTTATGCCTAGTGTTATATAATTAATGATAAACTGTAAACTATTATTTTACATTTGTACGTCGGTAGGTACTCGGATTATACTTTGGATTTATAATATAGTTTTCTAATTAAATTACAAACATAACATAATATAATATTATATTATTATATGATCTTTCCATTTCAGGTTTTGATCAAAAATAATAAGTAAATATTTTAATTTAATAACTTTTTCAAAGTAAAAACAGTTACAAATATATAAATTAATCAAGCATCTGAAATTATGTACTGTTATATTTTTTAATCGAATTTTCTACTAATTTATAATAAAAAACATATAAACACATTTTTTAATATTCATTTCTAGAAAATGTTTATGCAACCAAGCTTTAATATTATTAATAGGTACATACTACATTGATTCACTAAGTAATACAATATTCATCAATTTCTTTTAAAAATAATTCTTTTATCAATAATTTGAAATAAACACATCTAGAACAATAGGTAAGTACCAACAATACCACAATATTTAAATTTTTTTAATGGAAAGTATTTTTTAAATCTGAATACAATCAAAATTACATATTATTAAATTACCTTATTATTGTTACTGTTAATACCTACTAGAATGAATAAAATTCGAAGCACCCCCCTATGTGCCCCAAGCATCCCCCTATGTGCGCCTATGCTGGTACCTGCTCAATAGGCAACTCTGGGCACTAACTAGTTAGTTTTAATTAATATTAACTTTGTAACTTAACTAGTTGCATTCAAAGTGTAAAATAATCTAATCTAACTGGTTAAAAATAATAAGTAACTAGTTATTTTTGTAGTTTTTTTCATTTATAGTCCAGTCAAATTAGAGGAAAAAGAGGCCAGCTCGGAAAAATTCTCACAAACCAATCGTAATGATTGGACAAACATTTCAATACCTACATACTATCATTATATAATATTATGATTTTTGTTATAAGGAGTGTCTGAATATTTAAATTTTGTTTACCAG